CATCCAGGAAGGATTTGTTTTTTTTCCACAACATATTGTAGTCTGATCTCGATTTAAACAGCTCAACACCGGTTCTCAAAGTACCACGGCCCTTAATAGTTATGGTCCACTGGGTCTGAAGACAGAAGTTTCACCCCGACGCAATGACAAAATGAACAGGCCCAGCGATAATTTAGCAAACGTTTCATCACAACTCACCAAACCAAGGCCTACAGCTATTACTGACGGTGGTACCTGTGCATGTTCTTCCTTTGGAAATCAATGTCATGGCATATTTCCTATTAAACAGAACAACACATCCATAAAGCCTCAGGCATGGCTTTTACAAGGATACGCTCACGGATACAATGGCACTTTATACAACTTCGAAAAGAACTGCACACAGAGCTTGCCGAACAGGTTTTATACTATAGTAACAAAGAAATTGTTGGAAAACGGTACAGATTTCTTTTTACAGTTGATTTGGTTGCTTTTTAGCTGTTTCACCATTTAGGGTATTAGATATGTGAAATGGCCTCCACAAAAGCCACCGGACAATGACAAGTGATTGAGACATTTGTGTAAGAAAAGAAAAACGCTTTGAAATGTTTTTGTTTTTTGTTTTCAAAGAATAATTCAGTGTGTGGATGAGTATAGCTTTTTGAATCAATTTGATGGAAGATCCGATTTGAAAATACATTACATTATTGTATTTTTAAAAAGCAAAAAAAAACAACAACAAGATTTATATTGCACTCTCCATCAGCTCACAGGAATCTTTGAATGGCAGTAACACAGGCACAGTACGACTACAGCAGTCCACACTAAACCTCAGAGCACTTGGCATTGTTGTCATGGCAACACCTCCGTGATAGCTGATATCCAGTGTGGGAGCTACAGGGGTGGGGTGGGGGGGGACAAATTCATATCTGGCATTTCATGGCAGATCACACAGGGGGGGGGGGGGGGGGAGGACGAATTCATATCTGGCATTTCATGGCAGATCACACATTACGCACCTCTTCATTATCGGACAATATATCTGTCACAAAACTGAATGCAAAAAGACAACAACTGCATTAGTTCACCGGGGTGTGATTTACAACAGGCAATTTGAAAACAGAAGTATTGTCTTGGAGCACTGTTCTCTAATGAAATTGCACCCCCTTATGTGACAAACTGCAGGATTAACAGTCCTCTCACTGGTATTTACATTGTGGGTTACTGGAGTGCAAAGGCGGATTTAAAGTAAATAATATTTTCTTTGGCTCAAAATGATATAAATATATTAAAGTTGCTGCTGCTGCACAGTTTTCTGCATGATAAAATCTTTAATAAATATTTTTAATATGTATCCATCTATTAATACTCTATAATCGCTCTAAATAATCTCTTTTCTCGCGCCATCGATGTTGTCATAGATGGAAAAATGAACGTTGGAAAAAGGCAAAATACTGTATGTCTCTATTGTATGTGTACACTGTTTCCTGTCGAACTTATAATATGCATTTCTTATGACGTATTCACAATGCATGGATCACAGGGAACACAGCTTAGATAAACACAGCGATGTAACAGCGATGTAACAGCGATGTTACACAAACATCCCACTTGATCGGACATTTAGAACTGACTTGCACCTGCCTTTGTTTCAATCATGCAAAACAAAAATAAATATCTATTAGTATTAGTACGAAAATAATCACCACTACAGCCATACACACCCACTTACGGTATACATATTGAGATATACACAAACTTCAAACTGTACGCTTGTCCACAGTTTGAACAATATCTAAAGGTACACATTTAAAAAATAAAAAATAAACTTGGGGTCGGGGGCAAATGAAAAGATTCATAGCTGGGTCGAACAGGTAGCACAGAGCAGGACTGAACTCAGTGTAGGCACAATCTGCTTTTTACATCATCAACAACAGCCCCAAAGAAAAACCACAGCTACTGAAACATAGGTGACCTATACAAGCACACAAATCAACCGGTCGACAACTAGACAGTACATTTTGACACTGCATAGAGTTAAAAACACAGTCCAGGCCAGCACTTGGTTGTACCGAGCTCCTACCCCCCATGATCTGATTCTAGTTTTCAGCATTCCCACACACGTCTGCGCTTGGGTTCAGCTAAGGTACGTCAGTGTTATCTAGACTCTGAGACTCTTCCCACTTCTCCTGGGTTACTCAGTTGGCCTGGACTGGTTTTGGACCCACTGCAACGCCATTACAATCGAGGATGTACTGCAGACAGCCTTGAGGTGGGCGCCCAGTGCCATTCTTGGTGGGTTCACCAATGATTTCTCCCTTCTGGCCAGCTCCCTAAAAGACAAAACAAAACCCAATTTACTCATCCAGCAACAACTGTGATGGTTTTCTAAAAATAGCTTGTTTGAATCCAATAATATGGCAACGTCCTAAATCATAAATATTACATTATTACATTAGCAATGATCTTGCACCAACAGAGCTTCAGCTTTTAATATGCCTGTGTGTACCTGAGATGGCTGTATGGTGGTGGGTCTCTGGGGAGCATTCGCTTCCTTCTCAGCTGACTGGTTCATTTTTTCCAGCACCATGTCAGCGATGAGCTGCCGATCCTCAGCCTGGTGTTCGCCTACCAGGGGCATGGCAGAACCAACCACCTGGGCCGCAAAGAAGGTTGTAGCAGAGGAAAAAAGGAGGTAAATTTCACAGAGTAGTGCATTATATAAAACATGAGTCACATTACTATGTTGCATTACTTTTGACCAATACACAGTGGAACACATGCACTTTTCTGTACAGCTTAGTATACTTCAGTAGTTCTCGACTTTGACTCCCCAGATGTAGCTTCCTGGACTCCTACCTCTGTGATGTAATCTCTGCTATCTTTCCCATGGATAGCTTTAACTGCACAAATGTCGAGACCCCCGAAAATCTCTGAGCAGGTGTCGACCCACAGCTTGTACCTGAACACAACCACCAGCACATGACTCAGCGCGAACATGCTGTTGTACATGACACAAATATGTTGGCACAAAAAAACCAACATGGAGTTGTTGTTTTTTTCAAACTAAGAACATTTGCCATGTCAAAATGAAACATCTATTTGTACTGGATTAGGATTCTTACTCAACACTCACCTGTCAGTCATGGCCACCTGTTCAAGCATAGCTGAGCCTGTGTTGCTCTTCCAGTTACCAGATATAGATGTTCTCCTGATGTGTGCAAACCACATAAATTCAGTTAAGTTCAGTTTTGTTTCTCATTTGCTTACAGTGTTAAATCGTATGTACATACATGTAGGCTTTGTAGTCGTTGCCGATCTTCTGGATTCGGATGTCGTACTTGGAGTCAATCAAAGGCTCTGTGGTGGTGTAGGTCTGAGTGAGAGCCACGACACTGGCAATGTCCTGGAACTTACTGTGATTGTCGACTTTCACCTGTACACAAAAGCACAGATAGAAAAGAGTCAAACACTGAGAGAAGATTGCTTTAAAGGATTCTTGGAGGCATATTGCAGGTGAATTTTTCCTTTTTTTTTTAATGTTTCTGCAATTGCTTTAAGCGATTTTGCTAAATTTACTAAGCACAAGCCTAAATTAAAGTAAGCCACAATTTTGCGTTTTCCATATTACTGCAACAGAAAATATCTCTTTACCTTTCCAATACCGGAATGGGCGTGTCCGATCTTCACAACAACAGGGAATGATGGCATGCTTACCTAAAGTAAGACAGTATAGTTTGTGTTAATGCATCATATATGGTAATGTATAGTTTCATCTCCAAATTTACAAACTTGCTGTTTCATGTCATAAAAAAAAAAAGAAAAAGAAAAGTGTTGGTGCACTTCTCACCATCTCCTTGTAGTTTGGATAAAAGGTCTGCTCAATCAGAGGGAACTTATCAGCGCCCAGCTTCCTGAACGTGTTGATAAGTTGGGCAAACTGCAGACACACAAAGGCAAACAATCACGACATCTTGAGTAAATAATTTAACAGAGACACCAATAACAATCTATCTGATTGATCAAATGCAATCCAGAAATGCGGAAAAGATGATTGTTGCTTTTTTTTTTTTTTTTTATTGTTGCGCAGCCTGCTACATTGTTCCATAATAAAGCGCTCCCCGGCCGCCTACCGCCCACGGCTTGTCACACAAGTTGTAGATGGACTCGAGGGAGTTGATGCTTGGGACGCCACCGTACTGCAGGCCGATGATGAGGTTGCGAAAATCTTCATTCTGAGTCATACTGAAGGCATGTTGACGGATGAGGACAAAGTCTGGCTTGAATGACCTGTCAAACAGAATTATAGCAGAGAGGTGACGAAAACTGACCAGAAAAATGACAAGACTGTGGCACGTGCTGACAGCAATGGGAGATAAATCAGAAAGTGGGTACTCTAAGTGGACATGCTCTGATTAAAACAATGAAGTAGTGCTGTGCAGTTAAATTAATTTTGCTTTGTGTGTGTGTGTGTGTGTGTGTGTCGTACCTGACAACCTTGGTACCGTTTCTGTAAACCTGCATGTTAACCATGCAGGTTCCATTGGCATGAGCTACAACGTTGATCTCGTTGAATTCAGCCTGAGGAGTTGATAATTAGAAAGGTACATGAGGACAGAGCATTTCAACCCCTCCACTCTGTTTCATACAGGCACTTGAAATGGGTATTAGTGGCATGATGAAACCTACCTGTTCCACTTTGATGTCATAATCCCCATGTATTTTCTTTCCCCGGAATAATTTTGCCCTGGGTAAAAGGAGAAATCACTGGCTTTTAATATAACCACATAATGCATAAAGGGATTACAGAGATTCTTAAAATAGAGATTTCTAATTGATTATCCATCCAAATCTAAATCTTCTTTGTCATATTCTCTGGAATGTGAATTGCTGGTGAAAACATGTCGCGTCGGTGAATGCATAAATAGCACAGAGCAGAGAAATGCCTCTTTTTCGCGGACTTCCAACTGCTGATCCGCAAAAATGTAAGCAATTCATCCTCTCAATCTGACAACAAGGACAGCACTAAAACATTACAATACTTACTACTTATACAACACAACACTTAATCATCTTTACAGGCTTACACACAGATGCAACTGAGCACATCTGACGGCGTAGCAGCGCTGTGGATCAGGTTAACATATGATGAGGCAATGCATTCCTACTGCATACATTGAATTTAAAAAATTTCAGAAAATGGCTGCACCTTTCTGGTGATTCAGCACTTTAAAAAAAAAAAAAAAAAAAAGCAGACAGTCTCCCGTCTGGCTTGAATACAAATGACACACTCTGATCCATCTTTACCTGGACCACAGCTGAAGAGGAAATCTTTCAAAGGGATTTAAGATTAAGATGGATCAGTGACCCAAAACCACACAGGGATGAAAACTTCCTAAACCAGACAGTGCGTGTCGGTGTTTGATTTCTTTGGCTCTTTCCTAAACTATCACACAAAGGCTGGCCCTGACAAGATAAGATTTGGCAGCCCAAACTACTGGGGTAAATCAATACTGAGGGCAGCCCAAAAAAAGAACCCTTGCCTTCTATTTCCTTAAATTGCCATGGAGAAGGTTTCATTTTAGTTTCACTTTCCACAGTTTCAAGTTCACCCTGATGCTAACAGCCATTTCCTGCACTGATACATGTACTATGATAGCAGGATCCAATGGAGTTTGTAGGATGTCCATGTTTCAGTATGGCTGTGTTAACATACTTTCCTGACATGTTTTAAAGTTCTCACTTCCTTTTGGTTGGTATCGCTCTCCTGTCAGACACCCTGCACTCTCCGCATATTTAATGATGTGGTAAAACTGAATAATTCATTCAGAAGCTAATTAGAGCACAGAGATCTACTTGGCTGTGGAGGAAAACAAGCATTCAAATATGAATCACACCTCCTATGTTTGGGGAAATGAAAAGTCAACTCTGCGCTGTGATGAATGCTCTTCGTCAATACAGACAGAAAGACAGTGATTGCAAATCATGACCCTGACAATAAACGCAGACATGACGCTCGACGGAGACGAGCCTCTGATTTCATTTTGCACATTTGAATAATAATCGCTTTTAACATGAGGGATGGCTCTGTGGATGGAGTGTAGCATTATGTGGCCGATCTATGCTTTATCACTATGCATACAGCAGCGCAGCTTATAGCTCAGAGCATAGAAGCCACGCATTCAAAGAGAACACGATCTTCAAATCCATTGCATTAATATGCATTAGTAGTTGGTAGTCACCTCACAGCAGCCAGGTTCCTCTGGTTAAAATCTGAGCTCGTTTTATGTTAAGTATAGCTTTCATCCAATAACAAGGCCTCTATTGTTATTTATTAGCTCTATCTCTGCTTCTAAATTGTATAACTGGTCCTAAACCTGGAGTTAGTCACCAGGCTGTGCATCTATTGCTGAGGAGAGGGAAGAGCGTGATAGCAGACATTTACTTGGATCACTCATTTGTAGGAATCAATAGAGCTACTCTTGAATGAAAGATGAGATGAGAAACCAAATAAGACCAAAAAAACCCCCAAAAGTTTCTCTAATGTTTTTTTTTGTATGAATCAATGCATGCAATGATAAATGAAGGAACTTCATTAATGGCTGCAGTTTGCTCAGTCAAAATTTTGGCCAATTGCATTACTGCTGTGAAAGGATTTTACATTCATGTGATTCACAGAGAGCTCGGCGAGTAGGAATCCTTGCTGAATTTTAATGTGTCATTACTTTGCATGCACAACTTTCACTCTCTGTGTGGGTAATGTTTGAATAAGATTAAATACACAGCGTAAAGCATCGTTTCGCAGGTATTAGATGAAACAGTAACCGACGTATTTTGCAATTGTGAACATTGAGTGATTCAATAAAAGGAATCTTTGCAATCTTTGTCTCTTTGCATTAAATTGAGGTACAGAGGGAATAAGGAAGCAGTGCATCTCAGCCATTAGTCTGATAGGCAGGATAGTGTACCATCTGCTCCTCCTGTCATAAGAGTAATTTATAGCGCAGCATTCCTGGAACAAAACAAACCTCTCTGGATGACTGGCAGCCTCATCTAACAAGTAAAACATGGGCTGAATGACAGAATGCATCTGTCTGTGCTGCAACCCATGGCAATCACCTTGATTTTATCAGGACACCTTTTATCACATGCAAATATTCTCCCTAACAAAGCTTTTCACGCAACAAAGTCTCTGTTTAATTACATATTGGTATCTATTATATTTTTTCTGTGTGCCTTCTCTGGCATGTTACGTTTTTACAGTTGGGCCAAGCTGTTAGCAACTACGTGGAAGATGAAAACATTGAAGTTACAGTTGCATTTCAGATGCTTAAGAAATTATTTTTGGCTGGATATTGGCATACGAACTAACTAAAATAGAATATTTTTAGCTGTCGCCCTGCTGTCATTGCAAGTCATTGTTATTTCCCAGAAAATACACATATTCTACAAAAAATACTCATAAAATCTTGCATCTATTGATTATTTGGGATCGGACTGATTAGGCCTAATAAACAGATTCTGAGACTGACTTCTGCCAGATGCAATTAGTCTGGAAAACTCTTTCCTGATATCATTCTGTGTCTTGGGGCCACCAGGTCTCCATCAGACTGACTTTAATTTGCAGCAGTTGGTAGAAATAAGTCTTGACATTGTTGTATCTCACAGTGAGACACAGCACATAAACAATACCCTCAGACTCAAGGTGTGCCAACATTACAGAGAATAATGGGTGCTCACCAGAACCTGCAAGATCATAATAAAGAGACATTTCATCTTCTTATGGCTTGCCAACAGCTATATTTCAGTGTGGTTTCTGTCCTGCCTCATGTCCTGAGTGCTCGATACAAAGCACATATTATTTCAAACGCATCACTACTTCTCTGAAGCCTTTCTCCCTCGAATCCTTCTCAATTTGGTTTCCTTGTGCTTGTCACAGCCCAAAACTGTGCCATTTCAAGCAAAACATAATCTAAACAAAACAAGCAGACCATCACAAAACTGTGTAAACTAAAATGGATTTGTACTGCCGTAGCGACTTACCACCCGTGGGTGAAAGTTCTCAAAAAAAAAAAAAAAAAACACCAACAGAAACCAACCTAGTCAAACATGTACAACCTCTCTCTCAGTGATATTGAGCTGCCATAAAAAATAGATGCAGCACTCAGACAGAGGAAGCCCTTTGAAAGAACTGGTTTAGCCGATCTCACAAGTGGTTGTGCAACATATCAAGCAAGAAACGATTTAGTGCGATCGTAGACTTCAGAGCTTATGAACACTTTAAACTACTACACTACTGAATATATTTCAGCAGAAATAATGTCAGAGCAGCAAATTACTTGAGGCTTTTTTGTTTTTTGCAAATACATAGACATTACCTCATATCAGACCTCGTTATATCCTGACACTGAGAGAATAATGATTCTCCAGCAGAACTTACTTGCCATTATCCATTGGAATGACCTTTGATGAATGACATGGTTTTAGTTTAATGTATTATATTGAGCGTCTTTGCCAAGATCTGCAGAGCAGTGTCAGTGTACTGGCACATCAGACTGGAATCCTTATTCCTCAACTTCCTTCCCCCTCATAACAAATGTTGAACAAGTGAATACTTAAGGCTGGCATCAGTCCTACTGCTGAGGGTCTGATCCTATTACCAGTGATCATGGTTTCTAATAAATAAATGGCCACTCCTGCACACTAAAAAACACCTATACTCCTGCACAATTGCCATCAGGCGAGGAGCTCTACATGACACGAGTGACATACTGGCGTTGATACAACATACAGTACATCTATACACCATTACAACCTGCATAAACACACCAAATCTAAAGGCCTTTTGTAGTACGACTGAGGATCACAAGTTCAAAAACCTGTAACATTTTTTACATTTACTTTTGGCACTTGTCAGAAATAATTTTGGATTGTTGAAGTCAGATCGAACGGTCAGAAATTGTGATTTTGTACAATGCTTAAAGTAGAGAATGTATATTTGTTTCAGATTTTATTTGTTTACCTCAGACAAGTCAGTCTACCCTCCAGTGAGTAAGCAGTCCCTCAGGGCTGTGTAGTCATAAAGGCAGCATAGAGTTGAGTTTTATTTCCCTGCACTTTACCTACAGGTGGACAATGTCCATATTTATTATACAAAAGGAGACAATGGCTCCAGCTCACACACTGCTGTGGAAAATATGCCAGCTGTGTAAATATCATCGTGACGAAGACGGAGTTACCACATTCTATTATTTGACAAGATATGAGTCTTTACACAAAGTAATTTCCCTCTAAATCCATGTGCAAACTCATTTAGTGTATTTTAATTCCTCACCACAGTAGGCTGACAAAGACGCTTGTTTTAAGCTACCTTTGAGTACGATCCCCCAGGACGCTGAAAGCCAGTGTGCCAGCTTAAGTGCCTTAAGGTAAGTAACATTAATGACATGATGCTCCTTGCTCCCAGCAGGCTTAGAAACATATCTTTCCACATAATTTTTTCTTCTCACTCATATTATCGACTAATGCAACCCAACGCTCCATGGGTTGCGGTTCCTTACATAAATCGTTCCCTATGTTAGTGCAGGGCAGGTCACGTGATCTGCAATCAGAGAGCAGGGGGAAACCCCATTGATAGAGTGGAAGCACTGCAGTATTCACCTCCATTGCCTTGCTTTTATCAATTCTGCTCAACCTGTGGAACAGCAATTGTTTTTTTGTTTTTTTTATGTGTGGTAAAATACCACTGTACAGGATGATACTATCAACAATTTTGGTTAATTTGACAGATTTTCATACAGGTAGATGTACAACAGAATGAAACACTACAGAAAAGCCTTACCTACAAGGAGCATGGAGGACAATAAAATCCTCCGTCTTGGTGTAATGTCATTACTGCTGGGAATCAATGGAGCGTGTTTCTTTAAGTATTGGCTGCCTCTATGTATTATCCTAACACTGGGATGTTGTACCATCAAACCACAGCAGCAGAGCCCATTCATATCTGCAGGGTGCTTAATACAGATGTTTTTTCATGGTTCCTTAAGCATTACCTAACTACTACAGTCAAATGAATCATTGGTAGATAAATTGACATTAAGGATGGAGCCAACAAACAATACATAAAGAACGAATGATTCAAGATGAAATACATCACACTGAGTAGAGCAGCTGATCGTCTTACCACTCCTGCTGTGGTTCGTCAATGACAAAAAGAATCTTAAACTTCTTTGGTGTCGTGACTTGGGTCTGCTCCACTAGCCCTGCTGAAGCAGCTGTCTGCTTCACAACGTTGGTTATGGAACTAAAGAAACCTGCTCCCGTCGACTGGGATGGCTGGGGTTTCCTCTCTGGAGCAGGGGAAGTTGCTGGAGGTGTTGGCCCAGCTGTGGGAGACTTGGCAGGGGTGGTGGAGGCAGGTGAAGGAGGCTGAGCAGGGTCAGGCCTCTGAAGGTCTGTCATGTAGCCATTGGGCAGGTTGGAGATGAACGTGCTGTCCGAGAGGCGCCGACGCAAATAATTCATGGCTGCAGCTGAGAAAAGGCAGAAGAGTCGACGAGCACAGGGTGTGGAGAAGGATTCTGCAGAGGAGTCCTTGTCCTCAGTGTACAGCTGATAATGGCTGAGCTCTCAATGCAAACTCCCAGCGAATGTGTTCCCTCCCAGCTCAGCGGAGCATCCTCAAAGCTCCCCCTCACTAGCAGTGACGCTACACTCTCCGGCAGCCAATCCCCTCACCCCGTTCTCTCCTCCAGCATAGAAAATGATGCTCTAGCTTCGCCTCTCCTTCCTCCTCTCGTCCTCTCCTCTCTCCTCTCTCACTGGCATGCCTGCCTTCCCTACCCCTCCCCCACTTTCTGCTGCCTCAGAGGCATCCTTCTTTTTTGAACCACAGCATGGAAAATAGAGGGGTTTCCAGTGGAAGTGCAGGAGGGGTATAGTGAGCACTACATCGCAACCGCCTCACTCCCGCTCCCTCTGTTCCTCAGGTCTCTCTGCCCTCTGCCTACCCACAGCATTTCTGTGTGTGGGCAAAATGCAGCCATGAAATCTAAAATGGCTGTTAGGACCAGTGGGCCGTGTTGAATGAGAGGAAACGTCAGCAGCAGTCCCTTGAGACGCAGATGCATGCTGTAAATCCTGTCTCACAATTGTTTTTATCAATCCCTACACCTGCTGGTTTTACTAATTGTGATTTCCTGCACGGCTTCCTTCACCTCACAGTTTTGTTAGACTAAATTGGTCAGCAATGGCAGCACAGAAACACAGCTTGCAATATGTTCTGCACTAAAACTCTATATTAACTGATACAAAAGCAGAAATCTTATAAAATAATATACATTTTTAAGACAAAGGTAACAATTGCTGCTGCTGCTGCTGCTATTCCTTGAAATTCAGGAAAGAAGAGAGGCGGGACATAGAAGGTCATAAAGCTGTCTGATAAAATACCTCCAACGCAGTTTGCAGATTGATATTTTGCAAAGGCTCTGGAAACAGATCAATAAATCAATAACTCGTCATGTGCCGAGGTCATCACAAATCCAGTCAAGGTTTGACACAGTTTGAATCTGAAGCAGGGCCTTAAATGTGAAATATATGTATTATAACCGAGGCAGTTACACTTTTATCTCACAGCAGTAATACTTTTAATAATAAACAAAAATAAATATAATATTACTGGTGGACTTCTTTAATCTTGCCATCGAAATCTTCATGAGCAGTTAGTGATCTTTGATCCTGCTCCCTCACACATCAGGGGAGATAACTTTTTGCTTTTATTGTTTTATCTCTAACTGTGTGGAACAAACCTCCCCTTTACTGGCAGATAAGCTCAGGTGGCGCCTCTGTTCCAAAAGCTTTAAAAAACCACCTACACAGACAGGCATTTGCATTACATTTTATGTCTTTCCTAATGCTTTATTATTGCCCTTTTAAATTTTAATTTTTTAAAATTTTTGTTTTATGATCTTCTTGCAATCGTCATTTCTTTCCGACTCAGTTTTAAAAGGTGATAGGGAAATAAAATGAACCATTAATGCTATTAAAAATTTATTATTATTCTTGATTTTTTTCCCAAATTCCCAATTAGGTTTGAATTATTGTAACACTTTACAAATTTGCATGCCTAAAAGCTTTCCTGTGAATTTTCTGCTTATGTTTTCAAGTAACATCAAAGATCTGATTGTGACACAGTTTATGAAATAAAGTCAGATAGTTAAAGGAGCTGTCATAGCCGAGCTTCGCAGGCATTTCATCCAATGACTGTGATAACTTCCAGCTCTGACAATAGACTGGATTTTAAACTTTACGTTTTATATTGCCAGTGTAATGTAAGTTTACTGTCACTCAGTTGGTCTAGTCTTCAGATAGATCATCTGGATCGACGATCTAGTGACAGACTGTTGTGTGTTATAAATACTGTAAAGCATCACAAGAAAAAATTGCAAATGTTGGTTTTTGTGGCATATAAATAAAGTGTAATCACAGTGTCTATTGTACTCTCTGTGATGGACATTCTTTGTATTGAAGATAACAGAGTGAAAGTCAGGTTAAAGCTGAAAATCTATTATAAAAAATGACTTGGGTGTCTTATTTTTATATTTTAAACGCTGGTCATGAGACACATAACCTGAAACTATATTTATATATTATCCTAAGAGAAGCTGTAGTTTGCACTGAATGCTATGTGTGTATTAGGGTGACACCTGCTGGTAGTGGAGTGGACAAACCCACTTCCTGAAGTCTCCAGCCCAGCCTTTCTAGGCAGAGGTGTGTGGATGAGGAGATCCAGCAGCACAGTGTGCCACCCAGTGGGCTGTTCTATGATCAGATTGTTGGTCAGCCTGAACACTGCCACAACAATCAGTGGAAATTGTCCAGGTAATGCATCAGACAGTCAAGTTATGACACATTACACCTACACTTGTTTTAAATTTGAAATTACACTATCGCAAAAAAAACAAACAAACAAACAAACAAAAAAAAACATAAAAAGGAAAGCATTCTTCGTCTGACAAAATAAAGTCAGAGACAAACTTTAAAAAATAGTATTTGACTATTTTATTCAAGTGTTATTCGTCGTGCAACATTTGCAGCCGTGTAGCTCAGCAAAGTGTATCCCTGGTTCTGCAACGATAGCACACAGCAAAGTGTTCGTATTTAACAAATGTACCCTTTAGGTGGATGTTCCCATGTTAACTCGCCCCTGCTCGCCTCGTCTCTCCACTAGGGCCGTTCAGCTCCCTCTTTTGTTTGTTTGAGAACTGCTACAGTGGGAAAGTACGTGAAGGCAGAGTACACGCAGGCTGGCTAATCATGGTGTTGTAGCTGCGAAGCTACTTCAGTCGAATAAGTAAGTAACACTGATTGCTAACGTTACGCCTATTTGAAATGTAGTTTGTTAGACTTTTACCACTAAACGTAACCCCACTGTAAGTTGTCATTAATGTGTTTTTGGTTTTGCCAGTTGAATCGGGAAGCTTTCAGCTAACTAAGTACGAAGTTAGCCACATGGCTAACGTTAGTTTGTGTTATGGACAAAATAAAAATAAAGTTAGTTAATTTGTGTGTTGGTCTCTTCAACTAAGCTAACAACCGTAAGACTATGTGGAAAACTATTTCGTGGAATCGCAACTACCATTGCGATATCAGCGAATTTAACTACTTCTATAATAATAGCATTAAAGGCTAGTTGGTCGAAGCTAGCGTAACATTGTAGCAGTTAGCTCAGCGTAGGCGACTTGTTTAGCTAGCCTCGGGCTGGTTTACGCCAGCGTCCGGATACCTGTCGTTAGCCACCAAACTAATAACAACAAGAGATAATCGCCGATTTCTTTTGTCTTGTTTCAAAAGTAAGCTTTGTTTACCTTCTTATTTACAATCTGATTCGCCTATTTTGTTTCTTTTTTCAGGATAGAAGCCCATTTGTTGTCTTCGGTGCTATAGTTTGCTAACATCGATGTTAGCAACTAGCTTGTTCGTGTAAATGCTTTTCACGAGAATGGACCTGTTGAACTCTCAGTTCCTGGACAAGATGAACAATAACATTGGGAGACTGCACTACGAAGGTAAGCTTTTCAATATTTGTTTTTCAGAATGTTACGCTTATTTGAAAAACTATCAGCTTGCGGTTTCTTTAAGTACAACGCCAGTTTCTCCTGTGTTTTGGTTTGCGTTACCTCAGCGTAAGGCGAAAGTCAGCCATAGAACTTTAGTCAATTTTGATGCAAGTCGACACTAACAATGTTATAGCTTACTGCTTATTTAGAAAAACAAGAACTATTGTGATCCAAAAGTACGGTCCCTAATAATAGCTCTATCTTCACATCATGTCCTTAAATCCACTTATTTAGCTTCCCAGAAGCTTCACTCGATACGTAATATATGCATAATATGCTAACATGCTAATTTAAAAGATGTGTATAAACAATAGAAGCATTCAGTACAAGTGTTGCTTTATTTGATGCACTCGGATTAAACTTCAGACTGTTTGACACTCTGTGCTAATGGGTAAGTTACCTATCTGAAGACATCGAGGCTAAAACAAGTATGATTTGGTCAGTGTAACATACTACATAATCGTGTATGAAGCTGTTTTTGCTCAGGTTTTTGGAGGTGATTTTTAGTCCCATGCCTCGTGCTCAACTTCTCGATCAAAGTTGCTTTTAGAAATCAATTCAACCTCTGAACATTAAACAAGTCCTCCTCTCTGGAATAGCAGGGTCATTTAAATCTCACTTTAGAAGGTGTTTTCCGAACTTTTGAGCTGACATGACCTCCACAGTCTCCTGATTATTTTTAAAAGAAATTGCACCAAAAAAATATTATTTTGGAATAACAGAATAGAAAACATCCTAGATATTTTATAACACCAACTGCAGATTTTCTGTCATGAAACCACAATGCACATGATGTGCATTTGCTGCGATTTGTGTGCAAATTATTTTACATTTACGCCGTCTTATTACAAATTCTCTGTTGCCCATTTGTTTAGAGTGTAATTTTGACCAAGTTCCATTATTCAGGACTGTCTTTAAGAACAGCACAGCCAGTCTTGTTTAAGGTCATGATATGACTAAATGCAGCGGTATTATGCAATAGTAGTTTTCTGTGTTTAAGTTGTGTGCTTGTACTCTAAATTTAGTTTGACTGTTTGGACTGGCCATTCTTTTCCCACAGATGAGTCCAGGATGCCCTCCCTGTCCACTGCCATGTCCAACATAACTGGGCCTCCTCCACACTGCCCGAGCAAACGAAAGTACGGCGAAGAACAAATGGAAGACCGAATCAACTGTGATGATGACCACATGACCAAAATGAGCAGACTGTTTGCCACTCAGTTGTAAGTGCCTTTCAGAAGTTTAAGTATTGATAATTACTATAATGAAGTAGCCTTGATGTTGTTGCTTTTTTAATTTTAGTCATCAAAATTGTATGCAAAGTGTTACCTGTGTTCCAAATTGATTTATGTTTGATCATGTGGCAAGTGACAGGCAATTGCACACCAAAAAACCAATTATCTTAAAGCCTGACCTAATTCTGCTTTCATTCTGTATTTATCCATTTCTGAATGCAAGCCACCCTTTTGACCACACTTGATTACTTTGTGCTAATATAGTATTTTCAGTGTAGCCGCAGCTAAACGCCTGGAATTAGATTTTTTTGAATTAAAAATAAAATAAATCTAATTTTAGTTTTGAAACAAGAAAGCAGTCCTGATAAACTTGTCATGCAGCAGAGTATTGTTAATTAGTTGTCAGTATCAAAAACCTTTACTGTGGGAGAAAAAAAAAGAAAGAATCTGTTGCATTTGTCCTTCTGTTCACATGCTGATGCATTTTTAGGCCACTGAAAGTGTACCTTTTTGGAAAACTCCAAGGATGAAGATACCAAGACACTCCTTGCAATGTTGACATGTAAACAGTGAAAACTGACTTATCGGCATGCACAGCGTTATCACCTTTGTTTACATGAAGCGATTTTGTACAATGTCGGCTGTGACCATAATAGTGCTGGTGCAGACCTTGCTAATGGGACTTTTTTCCACGTTTACACATTAATGTATAGTAACTCCTCCACTGTACTGAGGAACACAGGCGTCACTATCAGTTCTCACGTACAATCCCCCCTCTTCCCAATGATGAACCATTGTTGGCAGCTTACCAGAAGTGGCAGTAGCTTTTCTCAGGCTGCTGATTGGCCGACATGACTTTAGCATTCGGGTTATATTGCCTCCTGTTGGTTTGGCAGGCTATTGACAGTTCTTCAATTTTGTGTTTTCGTGTAGATGGAGATTTATTTTGAAAGTAATGCTTATGTGGACAAGATTTATTTTATTATTTTTATTCTGAGACCGAAGGAGGAAAAATCCTGTTTAAAATGCATAGAAAAACTCCAGGCTGTAAAGGGTTTGATTTTAGGGGAAACATTAGAATACTAACACAACAAAGTCTATGAATAGGAAGTCATGTCATCTTAAAATAACATTCTACAACATCAAAAAAAAGGTTGCACTTTAAAAAACACCACCCCAGTCTACACTCCATACTGTGATCTTTATATAGATGTGCAAATGTCGAAAAGTAAATAGTTTATGAAGGTGTGAAGCTGTTGGAAGTGTACATTTAATTTGTAATCTCTCATTTAAGGGCCCGCCCCTCCGCTGGAGACAACCGTAATGAGCACTGGAGCCTCAGCCACAGTCCTGTGGAGCACGTTACCTCCTCCTCTAACGGTCTCCATGGGAACCACCTGTATGCTTCCATTTCTGGCTATGCTGTAGACCAGCCTCTGGCTCTGACCAAAAGCAGCCAGGAAACTGGAGTCGGGGGAGTAGAGAGGTCTGTCATAAGTGGGACTGTGGAGCGACAACAGGTACGTCAACTTGTGACATTTAAACAGAGTACATGTAATTTTCACATTGTTGAAAATAAAAAGCACATCGGTACAGAGGGAAACATTATTTCTATGTTAAATCATGTGGGTCAGGTAAAGCCCAGTCCACGCTCGTCTGACGTGCTTGGCTTGAGGAATTTGTGCGATGTACATTTTATTTGCCCATGTCCGTGAAGGTCAGCACAGACTCCTGTGTGGGCGTCTGCTTGCTGACTGTGTGGATCACATGCGACAAAAGCACAATGGTGCTCCTTGTTGATTCTTTTCATCTCTTTCACCAGTGTACTATATTCCCCATCCTTGGTCCCATTTTTGTGAAGCAGGAGCATTTTCTTTCTTTCTTTCTTTCTTTCTTGCTTGCTTGCTTGCTTGTATTAACATTTTGTTGCTGTTCAGCCAAATATGATCAGTGCATGCACAAAACCTGTCTGTGAACACAGGCCCCAGCTTGTAATATGTTTAGAAGTACATTTGCTGTCTGTGCATGTTCACTTCACAGCTGTCTGTGGTGGCAGGTTGCAAAGATTGCTTTGATAATGGATAGTTCTTTACAAATCAGTTATTCGAGTTGTCTGTTCCAGTTGCTTTGGTAAATTGGGATTGTTGAAACTATGTGAATCTTACAGATTACAATGAAAACAATTTGTAAAGGTGATCAGAATAAGTCAAAGATATATTTGAGAAAAAAAAAATTCCACATGTGACACCCAGCTCAAATATACAACACCACAGATCACGCAAAGGTTAACATGTGTATTCATACACTTTTCTGGTAGAGTGTTCTGTCATGTAGTCAAACCAAGTAAGAATTGTGATCCTCTTATATGAATCTGTATTGATTCACAAATGTACAAAATGATGTTTTTCTAAAAATGTTAGGTTGACAGGACAAAATAGAGGGGGTTCTGCTATGAGTGCGCAATGCAGTACTTGGACTATTTCATACTATACGTGCCACACACTAGAGTTATCTTCCAGTCTATCTGCAAAATAAGGTGCGTCAACACATTTAATATTTAATGACTCAATAATTAGCTTTGCAAGATGGAGGTAAATATTTAGTGAATACTGTATTCCCCATCACTGACAGATAAATGCTGAATTTAGGCAACAAATGAATTCAGCACTACCAGTCAAGACCGGTTGACCGACACACACTGCAGCACTAAAATGTTACAAACATTTCAGCCAACTCTGGGGTTCAAAGTGTCATTTTCTCTACAGTCTGCATCATTTCAAAAAGACCAGTAGACTGTTTTGGATAATCTTTTCCCAGTGCTGGAAACATCATATACACATATATACAGTTTCAGCTCCAGTACACTCACAACAACGTCCTTTCATAAAAAAAAAAAAAAAGCCTTTAGTCCAAGTTTTCATGAGATGGTTTCAACTTCATAATGTTAACTTGCATGAATATAAGCTTGCATATGCTCACAGCCATTTCTCTGCTTTTGTCTTCTTGAGATGCACAAAAATTGCTTCAACTTAAAAAAAAGGTGTGTTTCCCCCTTTGGGTTTCTTTGCTTGGATGTTTGACTTTTACAATACAAATGAATGTGGAGAACTATCTTCACATTCCTCTGCAAAAGGAGAACGCTTTTTGTTTTCCTACCTAAATGTGTTTGACTCTTTCCCCTCTGTATTTACATGGTCATTCTCATTTTAGGTGAATGGTACATGTGCTTTGAGTGTATTCAGTGATTTAGTAAACATTTCTGGACCAATAATAAATACTGTATTAGTCAGCGAGTATCAGTGAGAATATTTTGACATGTTGGGTATCTCTGGAGGAGAAGCATACCTAAGGCTGCACAATAATTGCTAAATTGGTGTTTACGATTATGCATTAAATATATGTCCTTTATTAAATCAGCACTGCTTCCACTTTAATGTTGTGCAACATTCCTGCAAAAGTACAAATCTTAGCATCAAAATAAGGCTTAAAATAAAGTCACATGAATTCTATGCATCTCCTCCAGGCAAAACATGAATAATAAAAATATACAGAAAACACCTCACTTGGTGACCATCTGCATATCGATGGACACTTCCATTTATTAAACTGTTCAAATGCAAGCAGCACAGCTCAGCAGCAGTGCACGTAGAAGCCTTTTAGCATTTCTACTCAATTACTCTACACTATAGACATGTGCTTGACCCCAAATTACTTTAAAAACAGTGAATGAAGGCCTTGTAATGTAAGATTTACCAAAGTTAAAAGTAAATGGTTTTGTCTACATGGGCTGTTTTCTATAAGCGGAGCATTTCAAACTTCAAACTTGCAGTCGGTGGTTCATTTGATTGTGGAAAGCCAAAATCGTCTTTGTGATTCCATTAATTGTGCAGCTCTACCAGCTCCTACATACATACTGTGGCTGTGTTAGCTGATGGTATGCATCTTTTCCTCTCACAGAACCGTCCCTCGGTTATTACCTGTGCCCCTGCAAGCAATCGCAATTGTAATCTTACACACTGCCACATGAATGGCTGCACTCCCAGTCCACCTACTGATCAGAGAAAGACCAACGGTAAGTCTTTGAAATTACATACAAATTCACAGTGTGTGATCGAATACTTAGAGAGGGACATATATGACTAATACTAGCTGTTGCTTTGCTAAGGTGAAAAAAAATAGAAAAGCATAAGACCAAAAGAAAGAACAACATCTACTTATAGTGTTTGGTCTTGTATTAATAGAAAATTGTAAAATGGGTTTATTTATAATCATGCTAACTGACTGTCTTTCTACACAATATGTATTCCTGTCGTTTTCCCCCCATGTTTGTCCATTTAAGCCCAAACAGCTTTTACATGATTTATGTGTGCTGAGGCCAAAATGATCTTTTTTTAAAGTTTAAATGTAAAATGACTACAAGAAAACTACACATGCTCAAATTTAAAGTATTGGTGGAGATCTTTTACTTCTCAAAATTAGAAACCAACAGTATATGTCAGATTTTATCTCTCAGTGACGAATTGTGTGTTGTTTGTAGAAAAACATTTGAAATTATAGCTCCAAACTATTGCACTACATGCACTCAGCCCATTGTAGTTTTTCTGTTTTTCTCTTGATTAAATATAGTACCATACAATGTATTATCCAGAGTGTAGAACACCGATAAAGCTGCTGTATTTTTATTTGCCTTCATTAACAAATCATAGACACTTTTTTTATTATTACATCACATGTAATAACCAGGAGTTTGTTTTTCTTCCTCCACACATAACCTTATTTTAGATAATGCAGTCTGCGATCCTGTGATCGAGGAGCACTTCCGCCGCAGCCTCGGCAAGAACTACAAAGAAGCAGAGCCGGTGTCTAACTCGGTGTCCATCACAGGTTCGGTGGACGACCACTTTGCCAAGGCGCTGGGGGATGCTTGGCTCCAAATCAAGGCCAGGGGTGGAGGTCCTCAAACTCCAGAGGCTGATTCATGAATCAGAGGGGGGAGTAAACATTACAATCACTTCTAAGTGTGTGCATATGAGAGTGGAGATAGCCCGCTGTCATTTCTTGCCAAGAATCAACTTCCCTTAGCCAAGAACAGTGTAAGACATATGGTGCTCACAGAGGCTGTTCACTTGTGGACCTCGAGGTCAATCTTCTATTGGAACATTCAGCTCAGATTTGTAATCTGAAATTGGCAAGGCTCTCCGTCATAGAGGAGAAACTAAACATTGCATAGTTGGGTTGACAGTGTTAGTTCTGAAAACAGTGTACAATCATAGATTTTATTTTGGAATGATGAGATTCACAACGTGGTCAATAATTTTTCTGGAGCCCGCGCTCACTTGCCTTTCACCTGTCGCGATAGCCAAAGAAACTTCCTGCCTTTTTCATCAACATATAAGCCATAGATCTGGTCTCTATCGTCACTCTAAAGTCACACTGCTTTTTTTTTACTCTCTACTACTTGAAAAGGACAGCCAGGTCTCATTTGCACTATTACGTTTCTGACCGTTTAGGTAGCAGGTTACCCGTTTCAGTTGGAACTAATGTGTTCAAGAATGCATTTCGTGTTCTGAGATTGTGATAATGCAAGTAAGGCTCTGGTCCCCCCTCCTTCCCCCCCAGCTTTCTGAAGACGCTCGATTAGTCGGTCTTCTTTATCATGGTGAACTGGACGTATCCACTGTTGAATAAATATTTGTAGTTTCCTGTCTATACCTTCACTGTGGCTGATTACTTAGTGAACTAATATCAATCATAGTAGATATCTCTAACTAGAAAGCATGTTTCAAATAGCTGGTTTCTATTACAAACCTTATTCTATACTATATATTTACTCAGAATTTATTTTTTATCTGTAACATTTTAGAAATACTCACTGCTGGGACAGTTGTACTCAATATATTTTTTGTATCCGGTTTTCATTACTTTACGTAGGTGTATATCTAAGCATCCATCTACAAATAGCGGCCTCTGGCAAGGCTGCGTGAATGCGGTTTGAAAGGCCGCGTCACGTTTGTTATTCTGTGGACGCTATAGCTTTACACGTGACTGAATACAGCTAAAATCTGATCTTCTGTAGCGCAGTTTATTTGCAGTGGCTTTATTTATTCTCAACATGTTGATAGTGTCATGTTGACTTTTGGCAAAACGTAGTGACAACAGAAGTCTCACTTTGACGCGTTTCTCTCCAATTAGAACAACGGCGGATTTCTCCTTTGCCTCAGTGACAAAGCGGTTGATTTCCCTTTTTAAAAAATAAATTAAAACATTTTTTGAACGGACATGCGATGTGGGTGTCCTTAATTTACGAGTAGGCATCAACATTCCTCCACTGCTGCCTGACACTTAACAGTCACTTCAGTTGGGTTTAGCAAGTACTGTTACAAGTATGTTTGCCTTTATATAAAAAACAAAAAAAAATCATGGTGGTGTTACGGTGTGAGCTGCAAAAATCTTCTTAATAATGGAGAATAGGTGTAACTGAGTAACAAAAGTTTTTTTTATGCAGTTGAGTTTAAGTTAAATTTTCCCTCTTCTGAAATGATCTTATAGTCCCATAACCTATTTGTCGACACTGATTAAGATATGGTATTGTAAAGTCAAATTTGTTTGTCAATTAACTGTCTGTGAAAACATTTACATTTGTATTAATATTTTGCCTTTTTTTTTTTTTTCTTCCTCCAGTTGTTACATACACTATCCTGTCTTTATATTTTATTTTACTCATAAGACTATCATTGCGCCGTGCGGAATGATCATAGATGTTTTGTTTCTATTCAGAGTAGCGTACTCATCTGTAGCATGGGTGTTTATTATCTTCTAACCATGCGTTCTGTCTTTAAAAAAAAATAAATAAAAAAGTTGATTATTTTTTTCCCACAGTTGTCAGATGATTAATAAGTGCAGGAACACAACAGTCTTTTGATCAAAGACTCTCTTGGTGCAGTGTCAGGAAGACTTCTGTTTGTTTAACTTTCTGTGTGTACCATCATAGAAATTGGTGATTATCTCGGGTTCTGCTTGTTTGACACAAGTGGAGTTTTCAGTAATATGTTTGGGGTTTTAGTCCATTGTTATTTAATTGCTATAGACTACCTGTATCTCAAAGACTGTTTGCAGAAAGTGCTTGTTCCAGGTGTCATCTTCATATAAAAAAAAAAAACAAAAAAGGAAAAATTTGTTCACCTTTGTCCTTATTTCTCTGGAAGAAAATACCACTTTTTTGTACTTACATTTCTTCCAAATAAACATAATGCCTACCTTTGCATATTTCATGTCGTCTTTTTTTTTTGTTATTATTACTTATGCTACATAAAGTTACAGCAAGTGAGATGCAGCAAAAACGGTATATGCTAACAAAAATGTCCATTTTACTTTAATTGTTCGTAAGACTTGCATTTTTCATTTGAGCTGATGTCAGTTGTTGCTGTTATGGGGTGGAACATGAATAAGTGTGTGTGTGTGTGTTCAGACCTATTCACGTGTTTATGTAGTAGATTTAAGTTCAAATACATAAATGTGACACCATTCTTTTGATTTCCTTTGTTTTTTTTGTTTTTCTTTACAAGCTTTTACTGAACTAAAAAGATTTTGAGACTTCATTGTGGTTGTTGGGCTGCAGGGTGGCGCAGTTTGTAGCAGTGTTGCCTCGCAGCAAGAGGGTTGCTGGTTCGCGTCCCGGTGAGGGCACCGGGATCTTTCTGCGTGGAGTTTGCATGTTCTCTCTGGGTTCTCCGGCTTCCTCCCACACAGCCCAAAAGCATGTTGAGGTTAATTGGTGATTCTAAACTGTCCGTGAATGTGAGTGTGCTTGGTTGTCTGTCTCTAAGTGTGGCCCTGCAATAGACAGGCGACCTGGGATAGGCTCCAGCCCCCCACGACCCTAGTGAGGATTAAGCAGTGTATAGATAATGGATGGATTGTGGCTCTTAAGTGTGTGTTTAGATGCATCCTGTCAGCTTTAATTATCCCTGATGTGATGAAAACTGGTTTAAAGTCCACTTGTGGCAACTTGTTTCATTGGACGCCATTTAGAAAGACACATGTGAGTGTTTACGGTCCTACAATTCACTACAAAAAAAGGCCGGGACAGAAACGCAGCCTTCAAGTGTACCTAGGAGCACAGTGGACATTACAGAGTGTCAGAAATCTTCTACCTCCCAGAATCTCTTGTGCTTCCCTGAGTGGTCCAGACTTGCTGTAAACCACACAGAGCATCTGTGGAGAAATCTGAAGATGGCAGATATTTTGACAATTCCTGTCAAATCTAATGGAGCTTAAAAGCATCTACCAGAAAGAATATTTTTTAAAAAAAAAAGGCCAAACCCAGAGTAAAAACTGACATTAAAGGTTCTTTTATAAATGAGAGATTTTCAAAGATTTCATTGTGTTTTCACTTAATCATTATGGATAATTGAGTTTAAGTTGATGGGCAAAATGCTTATGAGAAACATTTTATTTTTTTAATAAGTGAAGGGGTGCGTAGACTTTATGACTGTGTTACATATAAACAGCAGTTCAGGATATTGTCTCCCTCAGTTTTAATCAATATTCTGTGTTGCTGACAGTAAATGCAGCATGCATTTAAGCATGAAAACCGAAGAAGGCCCCTTTAGATGCTCAACAGTCACTTCATAAATCTGTCCTGCTGCTGTACCTTAGATTCTGGACATCCTTGTTAATGTTACACTGACGTTGCAACACTTGAGTCAATAAGGAGGTGGTCCCATTGATTAGAGCACTCCTCTTTGAACCACGCAATCAAGAGTCATTGCTCATCCTCTGTCGTCCGTGGACACTTGCCTCCACCGCTTCAGAATAAAGTCGTTTATCAACCGATTAGTCCAACCACAAGTCAAGTGCTGCCGTATTTATTCTGTCTTTAAACTGTCTTTGTCTCATCAGCTGCTTCTTTTCCTTTTGGTTGATACAGGCTTGTAATAGTTTGTTTTAACTGGAGCAAAGATTTGTTTGTCTCTTAATTCTAGATTTAAATGAGCATAGTGTCCCATGAACAGATTTCACTGCTGGCTTTTCTGGTATTAGTAGGTGTGTCCTGCATGCTGATGT